TTTTTTTTTTTCTTTTTGAGACAGAGTCTCGCTCTGTTGCCCAGGCTGGAGTGCAGTGGCGCCATCTCGGCTCACTGCAATCTCCACCTCCTGGGTTCACGCCATTCTCCTGCCTCAGCCTTCTGAGTAGCTGGGACTACAGGCACCCGCCACCACGCCTGGCTAATTTTTTGTATTTTAGTAGAGACAGGGTTTCACCGTGTTAGCCAGGATGGTCTCGATCTCCTGACCTCGTGATCCGCCCGCCTCGGCCTCCCAAAGTGCTGGGATTACAGGCGTGAGCCACCGCGCCCGGCCTTCAAACTTTTTTAGTGGCAGAACTGTTTTGTCAAATGGAGTCTTACCCAGGGTCAGAGTCTAGCCACCAGAGTGGAGCTGCCCTGTCCGCAGGCTCCTCTATGGGAGAGGCTGCTGCTCTGTAAAACATGGCGGGGCGGGCTGTCGGGGGGCATTTTCTGGGCCACGTGAATGAATTCGAGTTGGGGACGGCCCCGCCCCAGTGAGGAGGCTGAAGAAATGGGCCTGATTTGGTGCGGGACAGCCCCTGAAGACCGTGCGGCCCCTGGCCTCTGGTGCAGATGGGAGCCTCAGCAGCGGGGTCTAGGGCAGCACCCAGGGCATCCTTGCCATGTGGGGCTGCTGTTGGTGCCTGGGCATCAGCAACTCAGGCTGCAATGATTGGAAAAGGCAGGAGGAACCCCTGAGGCCAGGCCACTGGGCTGGGCAGCTGTTAAGCTGAGGTGGCCCTAGGGCCTGCTGGGTCTGGGGGTGGCAAGCCACACTGGAGGCACCAGCCAGGCCCACAGGACACGGGAGGCAGAGCTGTGAGGCCTGGTTAGAGCAGGTGGAGTGCTAGTGTGAAGACGGCAGGGACAGACCACCCAAGCCGTCAGCTGAGGACCGAGGCAGGCCAGCAGGGTAACACTGTTGAGGAGACCCCAGCCCGAGCCTGAGGAGGCTGGAGGTGCCATGCGGCTCCTGCGTGCGCCTGGTGTCTTGCCCACGCTCACCGCTTTCTTGGTCAGGGCAGTCCTAGCTGCAGCCTCTCATCACATCCTCATCTCTCATCTGTCTGACGTTGCCACCTCCCTGTCCACCCCCAGGGTTAGGTGAGAGCAGCTACTCAGTCCTGGCCACTGTCCCCTCCCCTCTGCAGGATGACATGCACAGGGTCATTGACCGGCAGCTGATGGACACGCACCTGAAGGAACGGAGCCAGCCAGCTGCTGCCCTCTGCAGGGGCCACAGCGCTGGGCGGGGGGATGAGCCCAGCACCGCTGAAGGCAAACGACTCTTCTCATTCTTCAGGAAAATTTAAGTTGGGAGGAGTGAGGCCACCAAAGATGGGTGGACCGGAGGCAGCTGGAAAAGCAGTGCTGGCGAGGCCTCCCCTGCGGCTCGCACCTCAGCAGCTGCCCTCCCCCTCATGCTGGGGCCCCATGGGTCTGGGAGGGCCTGCTCCCTTTCATTGGTGAGAATGGAGACCTAGAGGTGGGGGCCTGCCTTGGCCACTGAAGGCTTCCCTCGGCCCACCGCCTGGCCAAGCCCACGCCTGGGCTTCTCCAGGATCCCCTGCTTGAGCAGGGTTAGGCCACCTCCCAGAGGGCCCCTTGGTGTTGGGCTTTGCTGCTCATCCCTAACAGATCGCAGCCCACCCCCAGGCACTGCTGCCTCCTCTATTTTAGCAAATGGGGAACAGAAGGAATGGAGGCCCTTCTCTGCATGCCTCAGGAGGCCCGAGCCCCGGGGGCCTAGTCCTGTGGGGGCAGTGGGCCAGGCCTAAGCCTCCATTCCTTCCCCAGCCCCTGGCCCAGGGTCGAAGGGGAGATGGCAGCCCCTCCCCTGCGTGCATGCACCTCGGCTGGCAGGAGGCCAAGCCTCTGGCCGCAAGGTCTAAGAGCTGGCGCTTACCCAAGCTCAGCTGAGGCCACCCGAGCCCCAGGGAGGAAGAAGGCCCTGTCCCCCGGTCGCCACTGCTCTCCCTCCCAGCCTCCAGTCTCTGCCCCTTAGCAGGGCCGGGCCAGGCAGAATGTTGTCACCAGTCATCTGCAGGCTTTAGCCATCCAACCCTTTCCCCTGCTCAGGGCTGGGGCTGGATGGGGTCTCCTCCTCCCACAGTTCCCTCCTCCACTCCTCACATACATATCTTTTTGGCCCAGCCAAACAAGCCCAGGCCACAGAATGGAACCAGAGGGGTCTGGTCAGCCACCCCACCTTGAGGGCAGCACAGGCACCACAGGGTGGAGGAGAGGGGGAAGCTGCTGGAAGCCTCCAGATGCCTGCTGGCCTGCAGGAGAAACCTGTAGCAGCTGCTGCTCCTGCCTCTGCAGCTGCCCCACCTCTTCCACCCAGGCCCCAACTCAGAGGCTCCGCAGCCGGCCAGCCCTCAGCTGCTCACAACTGATTCAGTCTCCCTCCCTCACATGGGGAAAGCACAGCAGGGATGCGCGGCAAGAATGTACCTGTAGATGTGTACATACCACAGTGCTGTAATTTTGTATGTAGCAATCATGTAAATACATGTATGGATTTTATAATATACATATATAAAAATTATAAAGGCATATTTTTAGAAAAACAGCACACCACTGCTTCTTTTGAAAATAGTCCGAATAAGAATAAAATGAATTTCTACAGAGCTTCCTGCCTCAGTCTCTGGGTATTTGCGGGGGCGGGTTTGGTCTGAATGCCACTGACATATCAGACTCACCACTGGCTGCTGCTGGAGAGGTAGCAATAGTGGTTCCCCTGCACCTGGGCCACCGCAGATGCTGGTACTTAACCAAGGGATTTGGCCAGGAAGGGCATCCTGCCCTGCCCCTCCCGCCTGGCACTGCCCCCTGCCAGTGCTGCAGCGTGCCATCCGCAAGGCAGGCCTGCCAGCGCTGCTTCCCAGGCCAGCAGGGCCCTAAAGCTTCGCAGAAACTTCAAGCCAGAAAGAAACCACTCCAGGCAGAGGCTTCCACTGCATCCTTCCGGGAATGTGGAGGATAAACATGGAGCTTCCCCTGGCATCTTACCACATGTGCTCCCAGTCCAACTAGGGGGAAACTCAACCCTGGACCACCTGTTCATGGAGAAAATGGACCTGGCTTCTGGAAGTGTCCCAGGGCCTCGACAGGCTCCTGTGCAAGGCTTAGGCCAAGAACAGGGAAGAGCTGGACACAGTGAGTGGGAAGAAGCCACGCCCACTCAGCACATCGCGGGAGGGAGAGCAAACAGATCCTGGAAGAAAATTTGGCAGCTTGAACCTTTATTTTTAGTATTTTTTTAAAAAGCATAATTAGAAACTTTCAATACAGAAATACTCCTAGCAAACCATTTAAAAGTGGTGTGTGTTTGACAGGAATTTCACATCAGGTCCACTAGGACATCGGTCCAGCCCTGAGTCCCCACCCCCACCCCATAACCCCCATTCATGCGTGTAACAGTGGGACAGGCACACTGTCATGACCAAAATCACCCCAACACCTGGGGCTGATGTCCAGCTGCCAGAAGCCATGGGGGCTTCTAGCCTGGGCTGGAAGCTCCCAGGGACCCCCCCCCCCTTCTTATTGCTTGAATTTGCAAGCACACCCTTGCTGGCCTCACCTGATCGCTCAGAGGCCAGCATGCCCCCCACCCAACGGTACAGGAGCCCCAAGCACCCTGCATCCTCACAGGGCCCATGGCCAACCAGGACAGTCCCAAAGACAGAGACCCTGCTTCTGCTCCTGCTGACCCCACTGACCAGATGAGGCTGCCTGCTGGTCAGCCCTGCAGCCCCCTCCACAGCACCTTCCTTCCCAGGCCCACGGAGCTCCCCCACCCCATCCTGTGGCTCCAAAGTGAAGGACTGTCCCAGAACCACCGGCCTTTGGAAGTTTGGGCAAGTGGAGAGACGGGTGAGAAGAAACCCCGTTTTTATTAAAAATCCATCCACAGTGCTAACATGGAAACTGCAGTGTGATCTGTGATGTGATTGTCCGATCAGGGCTCTCCCTGGAAATCGCCTAGGAAAGGAAATCTAAGGAAACACATCCTGGTGTTGAACTCAGTTCTTCCCAGGTCACTTGATCCCTGTAGGGGGAGGGGAATGAGGTGTCCGGGCTGGGGGCAGGGGAGCAGTCATCAAGCGCAGATGACTGACCCTGGTTTTTCTCCAGGGGACTGGGGCGTGTCAAAACTGGCCGCCCCAGCCATTCCTTCCCACCCACTAGGAAATCCTCTTGCTACCTTTGTCCTGACAAAGGTTAGGACAGTGACCAAGGCCTGTCCACGGTCCCAGCCCAGAGGCCCCAGACATGCACTCCGCACAGGTGCCTGAGGCTGCAGCATAGACTCTTGACCTCCAGTGGGAGGCAACTCGGACAAGGGTGGGAGGCCCCTTCTCCGTTCCCACCAAGAAAAGCCAAAGAGCCCAGCCCCACAATGGCAGGAAGCCATTCATTTTTTTCTAAAAACAGTGGACACAAAGTGGGGTGGCCTCAACTTTTGCTGCTGTGCCAATCAAACCTCAGGGAAAGAGAATAATTGTGAGGAATTTAATTCACTTGATTTGGCTTCATTTTCTTGATCTGTTAAAATAATGCTCCCATAGCCCCCCTGCCAGCCCCGTCTCTGCACGAACCTACCCCGACCTTTCTGTTGGAACTGAAAACTGTTGATAGAAATGAGAAGCCATGGCTCCCCTGGGTTTGGAGTTCAGAGGCATCTAGAAGGCAGGACAAGAAATCTGTTGGCCAAAGGGCAAGACTGGCCACCTCTGTGGAACTGCAGGGCCTGCCTCGAGACCGGGTTCCCCAGCTCCCAGAATGGCTGTGGGGGCAGAACAGGGAGGGAAGGGAGCTGGCGCAGGCCCCGGAGAAGGGGCAAGACCCTGCGTGCCAGGGACAGAAGCTGACAGCCTGTCGGAGAGAATGAGCAACGTGGAGCCCACTCCATTGGCACAGGCTGGCCGAAGACGCAGCTAGTGACACTGTCTCCTCAGGACGCTGCTTGCAGTAAGATGGGCTGGGGAGGGGCGCGGGGAGAGTCCGCTGCAGCAGGCTGGCACCAAGGAGGCAAAAGCCAGAGCAGGACGTGGTGTGCGGCCGGATAGAGCAATATACACTATGTACAGACTCTGCGAATCAGTCCGCTGGGCGGGCAGCGTCCTCGCCAGGTCCAGGCGCCTCGGCCGGGGAGAAGGGGGCACCAATAGGGAAGGGCGGGCTGGTCCAACACCTTCTTGGCACTCGAGGAGGCGGGGGAGGAAGTGCCGATGAGACCTCCCGATACAAAAACATGAAGAGAATTCTTTAAATAACGGCACGAAACTGAGACTGTCCCCCGAGGAACCTCCACGGGCCTCGGGCTGGGGGAGGGACCGCAGTGCAGTCTCTGCAGTGGACTGGGCGCCATTAGCAGCAGCGTTTCTTTCGTTTACTGTTCTTCGTGAGCTTCACCACATCGTTCTGTTGCTGCTGCTGCTGTTTTGCCAGGTTGTCTTTCTTTGCTCGGAGGACCAGCTCCGTGATGCAGTTGAACATCTGTGGAGAGGAAAGAGGAAGGGCCAGCCTCAGACCTGGCCAGGAGGCCCCTGCTGGCCTGCACGGCCACCTCCCTGCCTTCCGGGGCCCAGCTGTTTCTACCTGGGTCTTTCTACCTGGAATTTTTGGCATGTATGTCTGTTCCAGAAGGAGGTGGTGAATTATTTTATTTAAAGGTCAAAACGAACAGCATTGCTAAAACCCCGCCTCTACAAAAAGATACAAAAATTTAGCTGGGAGTGGTGGTGCACACTGTAGTCCCAGCTACTTGAGAGGCTAAGGTGGAAGATCACTTGAGCCCAGGAGATCAAGACTACAGTGGGCTGTGAACACACCACTGTACTCCAACCTGGATGACAGAGTTAGACACCGACTCAACAAATAAGTAAGTCTGAAAAAAGGAACACCATCAGAGGCCCATGAGCTGTGTGGACTTGGGGAAGTCAAACTCACAGGGGTTTTCCAGTCCTTCTTTTATATAGAGAGACCAACCCCTTTCCTTCAGCTGGAATCTTTTTTTTTTTTTTTTTTTGAGACGGAGTCTCGCTCTATCGCCCAGGCTGCAGTGCAATGGTGCAATCTCGGCTCACTGCAAACTCCGCCTCCCTGGTTCACACCATTCTCCTACCTCAGCCTCCCGAGTAGCTGGGACTACAGGCGCCCGGCTAATTTTTTTGTATTTTTAGTAGACACGGAGTTTCACTGTATTAGCCAGGATGGTCTCGATCTCCTGACCTCGTGATCCACCCGCCTAGGCCTCCCTAAGTGCTGGGATTACAGGCGTGTGCCACCACGCCTGGCCCAGCTGGAGTCTTATGACATGACAGATGAAAGTGCCCCTGCTGTTCATGGACATAGGTGACCCGCGGTCTGCCCGCTCCATGCCACCTCATGGCATGAGAGCTGAAGTCACCACCCAAGGTCATACCAGCCTTGCCCACAGGCCCAGGTGGATAGGCCAGCATCAGGACACCAGCCTGACTTACAAAGGAGCCTGTGCTCCCTGCCACTGTGTGGCCCATTTGCCCTGAAGCAGTGGGATCCTCAACTTCCCATAGGCCTCTGGGCTCCACACACCACAAGGTGGCCAATGAGGCAGAGGACTGGAGTGGAAACTGTGCTTGCCTTTGGTGTGGGACAGAGGTTTACTCAGTCTCTTACTAGCTGGGTGGTGGTCCTTGAGTGACTTCAACACTTGGAGCCTCAGTTTCCCTATCTGAAATGTGGGAATAATTGTACCTACCTCAGAGGACTGTTGTGCTATCAACTAAGATCGTTAAAGGGCCTGGCACACAGTAGGCACTCAATAAATAGCAGTTACTATGACATTTTCTGTCGGTCATTTAGATGCCTCAAGCAGGTCAGCAGCAGGGAGAAGACGGCCACAGGTATGTGGCAGAGCTACTGGCCCAGGGCCTCACCTCTTCCACGTTGACATTCTCCTTGGCGCTGGTCTCAAACAACTGGATGCCCATCTGCCCGGCAAATTTGTAGGCATCTTCTGTCTCCACCACCTTCCGCTCAGGGTCGTCATTCTTATTACCCACTTCAAAGCAAGGCAGAGTCAGCGCAGCCCTGAGGGGCGGAGCCGGCTGCCCCTCTCCCCCACCCCACCCCCACCCCGGCCCTGGGTGCAGCCTCACCTAATATTCGGCAGACATCATCACAGTTCTGGTTGATTTCGTGAAGCCACCGCTTGACGTTGACGAATGACTCGGCACTGGTGACGTCGTAAACCACAATGACCCCGTGGGTCCCCCGATAATACCTGCAGGGCCAGAGTGTGCAGCAGCACGTCAACCCCGGCAGGAGTCACCCCCTTGCCAGAACCCGCCTGCCCCCGTTAGGACAGTGACCGGAAAAGGTGAGGGTGGCCCTAGAGCCTGGACTCTCACTCGGCCGCGGCAGACGCCCGAGCCACGCCAGGCCAGCAGGAGAGGCTACTGCGGCAGCACTGGCTCCCCCTGCCTGCCTGGAGCACCAGCAGGGCGGGAGGACCAGCCCCCGGGCAGCAGAGCAGGTCTGAGGAGTCCCCTCCTGCTGTTGAGAGTCTGCTGCGGGCTTGAAACATCTTTGAAGTTCTTGCTTTATTTTGGGAACTCAAGCAGTTTTTGTATTTGACATCATGTTATCACTGTCTTTGAACGTTCAAAAAAAATATTTTCTCCTCAAACCTGTTTTAGAGGAACGCCTTTCCAACAAGCCACACCATCATGACGCCCTGGCAAAGTCTGTGTCCCTCCCCCAGGGCAGGTAGGCCCCTCCCTTCCTGCTACTCTTGGCTTATCTGTGCAGGTGGCAGGAAAAGCGTGGAAGCCACACAAGCATCCAGGGATGGCTGGGGAGAGGGTGCCCAGCAAAGCCACCACCCGAACATGCAGAGCCCAGGGTCAGCCAGGAGGACCGGAAGGAAGGGGACGCCCAATTCTCCTCTCCAGACCGCAGGTCCCCATTCATCCCAATGGCGCAGGAGGACATCAGTCCCCGGGGGAAGAGGGGGACCACAGCCTCCGCTTCTTCACTTCCCCGAGAGCTGTCACAGAGCCAGAGGCCAGGCAGCAGCCCCGCCCCGCACTGTGCAATCAGCCAAGCTATCCCTCTGTCCCCTCTCCCCAAAGCCACAGGGACCTCCACCCAGGGCTCCTCAGGACACCACACAGACAAACCATGAGTGGACAGGCTGCTTCCTCCAGGCCTTCTGGCTGCCACCTGCCCCAGCCCTAATTACCTCCACCCCCATGAGGTTCATGGGGACAGCCCAAGCCCCAGTTCAGGAACAGCCCAAGTCAGCACAGGCTGAGCGAGAATGGGGTAGCCAGGCTGGTGGCTGCGGCTCCGTTCCTGTCCACCTGCCCATCAGCTCTCCAGCCAATGCTTCACATCTGAGGCCTGATCCAAGGACAAAAGCCCACCCCTGGCTCCACCTCTGAAAGGCTAGAGGGCGCCTGCATTCACCCTGCCACACCTCGCAGCTTCAACAATTGCGGAGCGCAGGTGGCTGGTCCTTAGCTGGGGCGGTCAGGAGGAAGAAAGGAGCTAAGCATTCCCCCAAGGGCAGGGAGCAGTAAACAGCATCAGTTCTTCAGCATCATCAATATGCCTTCAAGGACAATCTGTGGTCCCAGACAGAGGTGGTGGAAGGAAACCCAGAGGCAGCTTGGGGGCGGCCCTGAGCATCTTCCCTGAGGCTGTGGAGCTGGAGGAGCTCCTCCTGCCCAGGCCTGGGGCAAAGCCCAACCTGCCCCTGCCACTGCCCCTGCCCCTACCCCTGCCCCTTCCCCTGCCCCATCCTTGCTCCACCCTCAACACGACCGCTGGGATCTCTTCCCAGGGCTTCATCCTGCCCACAGTTTTGCTTCCAGGGCAGCATCGCTCCTTGGCTTTGGGGTAGCTGTCTTGCCACTGAGCCCACGAACTAGCTCTAGCCTTGGCAGCTGCTGCTGAGAGCGCCGGGTCAGCACACAGCATGGCGTGTCAGACGCCTTCCAGAGCGAGGGCGCGCCAGAGCCACAGGAACAGGCGACTGTCCCCTGCCAGCAGAGGAAGCCCAAGGAGTGGATGGCTCTGCAGACTCTCCTTTGCTGAAGATGATCAGAGATGCCAAGAAACGCCTACAACCATGGCCCCGGCACAGAGCCCCCGCGGCTCCCTGGGCGCCTCCGCCTCATCTGGGGCCCAGGACAGGGGCTTTATGTAAGAGCAGAAAATGTGTCTGGGGATGAAGTCAGGGGCTCAGAGCTCTGGCTAGGAGGAACCAGAGCACCGAGGCTTCCCGTGGCCACCAGGAATCGCCTTCACTCATGGGGACTCTGCTCTAGGCCAGGCACAGAGCTGGGGGCTTGGGATCCATGACCTTATTAATCTCTGCAGCCACCTGATCCAGCAGACCTCAGGTTGGCCATGTGACCAGCGAGGACGTGAGGCTGAGTGCGGCGGCCAGCTGGAAGTCCTGGCGCTCAGGGCTGACTCCCAGGCCCAATGCCAGGGCCTTGCCTTCCTTGTCACTTCTCCCCTCACCTCCACCCCACCCGCACCTCTCAGGGCTGGCAAACCTCAGCTTCTGAGAGCAAGAACTCGAGAGGGGGTGACCACAGGGCTCTTTCTCACCAGGCTAACAGGATGCGGTTTCGGTTTCTCTTTGAATGCCCTGCATCGGAAAAAGTCACGCTACTACATCCTGACTGCCCCATTCCTGAAAACTCCTCATCTCACCAAAACTCCTTCCTTCTTTGCCAGTGACCATCAAAGGGCGTCGAGACTTCCAGGGGCCCCTCAGTGCGCCCTGCTGGGCCTCCTGCCTCATGAGGGCCAGAGTGGGACTCCAAGATGGAGCTACCTCTCTGCTTCCCCAGACAGGTGGGACTCCGTCTGGGGCCCAGCAGCTGCCCACAGGCTGCCCCTTCCCAAGCCCCCTGGGAAAACCCATGATGCTCCCAAGAAGCCGAGTGACTCCTCCCCACCTCCCCACAGATGGAGGAACCAGTTCACCCTCTTCGCGCCCTGCCCAGCCTGGAAAGCAGCTGACTGCATGGTGACAGGGAGGGGCTGTGGCTCCTCCTGCTGAAAGAGCCTCAGACCCCCCCAGGCCCCACAGCCCTGCCCAAAGGGTTCATTCCTCATGGCCACGGGCCTCCAAACCTCTGCTGCCCTGACCTCCACCTGGTTTGAAGGCACAGGATGGGGCGGGAAAGCAGGGGTACCACCTGACCAGCTGGTGCAGGGCCTCGGCAGCCTCAGGGCCAATCCTGAGTGCCCCCAACCCCCGCCCCCCGAGTTAGGAGGCTTCTTCCTCCCTGGGCCTGTTTTCCTGTCCATAAAATGGAGATAGTCACAGGTCTCTCTACCGGGATTAACCGAAATAAAGCAGCTGAAATCCTAGCGACAGGCCCAACCCAGAGCAAGGACGCGAGAGGTCAGCACCCAGACCAGCCCTGGCCAGAGCATGAGGGCTTGTCTCGCCTGGGCTGCGCTGCCCAAAGCACTGATGCCAGCCCTGCCCCAGCGTCCTCCGCAGGTTCTCACTGGCAGCTGCCAAGACATGCAGGCCACAGAGCCCTCGCTCACGGGACTCATCAACAGTCACCACACAGCACCACACCCGGGCGACCCCAGGACTGGGAGCTCCCAGGGATTCGGGGCATCACGGGCCGCAGCACAAATGCGCTCAGCATAGGGTGAACCCAGTGACAAGCCCTCTGCCTCGACTCCAGCCCCAGGAGCTGCTCGCCCAGTGCACCTGTCCCTCCTCCAGCAGCCCTGCTCTCCCCCACACTCCCAGCCACCCATGGGGGCGCTGCACCCCACACTTCCCGCCCTTGGGAGATGCCGAGGGGTCCGGGGTGGGCAGCCAGCCTGGGGAGTACCCAGCTTTCATGCTGTGGGGAGGGAGGGGACCGCTGGCCGGGACTTCCTCATTCGCCTTCCTGAGGTCACTTCCAGAGAGAGCCGAGGAGGTGTCTGTGGAGCCAGACAGCGCCCCTCACTCTTCACAGGCTACTGTGTGGAGCACAGGCTCGGCCGATGGGAGGGACCCCTCCAGGGCACCCTCTGTCAAATGGGATGACAGCAGCACCGAGCACACGGAGCTGCAGACACCAAACCCCGGCCACGCACGTTGACGGCTGCGGCAGAGCACCCAGCACCCTCCACATGGAAGCCAATCCCAGAGGCAGTCCCTCCAGGAAACGAGCGCAGAGAGCTTCGGCAACTTGCCTAAGGACACACAGTCCAACAGCTCCAAATCGGTCCCTTCAGACCCCGCTCTTCCCTAAAACCTGCTCCATTAACAACGCAATAACCAGGAGCTGCTCCGAAGGACACTGCCCATCTGCGCTGGAGCCCAGCTTCCCCCGGCCTGCAGCTTAGCCACAACGGCGGGCAACTGGTGGGCGGCCGGATTTCCCAGGAACAGCTTTAAGGGGAGGGAAGGGCCTGCTGACATGCACCAACAGGTCTCTGGACAGCGTCACCTCCAAGGCATCAGGGTGGGTGACGGGAGCCTGCACAGGCCAACTCCAGCTGCCATAACTGACACCTACCAAGAGGAATTGTCAGTGACTAAGTCCTGGGCGGGCAGGGCACTCTGCAACCCCCTAGTAAGGCAAACGCTATTCTGCTCCCTCTGTAAGGTGACGGCGCAGTGGGCTGGAGGGTCGGCTGACTCTCCAAGGAGGCTGAACATGGCCACTGTCCGGCCATCCGGCCAGACTCCAGCCAGGGTGCTCAGCGACTCCCCCTACAGCATTCCCCTCACACCTTCAGGACTGGGAAGGGTGCAACCAAACGCCATCTACTACAGCCAACAACAGGCTCACTTCCCGACAGCCTCAGGGACCCTCAGTGACATTTCCACCATGCAGGCACCAGTCGCTCAACCATGTCCACAGGTCAATGATGTGGGTTGGGTGGGACGGGGCGGGCACAGGTCAGTGGCGTGGGTTGGGTGGGAGGGGGCGGGCACAGGTCAGTGGCGCGGGTTGGGTGGGAGGGGCGGGCACAGGTCGGTGGCGCGGGTTGGGTGGGAGGGGGCGGGCACAGGTCAGTGATGTGGGTTGAGTGGGAGTGGGCGGGCACAGGTCAGTGGCGCGGGTTGGGTGGGAGTGAGCAGGTGGACTCACGTGGAGGTGATGGTGCGGAAGCGCTCCTGCCCCGCTGTGTCCCAGATCTGCAGCTTCACCTTCTCTCCATTGATCTCCACGGTCCGGATCTTGAAATCCACTCCGATCGTGGTGATGTAGCTGCCTGCACACACAGGGCAGTTAACGAGGCCCGAGGCGGTATCCTCCCAGGCCCCGAGCCCCACACTGCACACAACACACCCCCAGGCTCCCCCACTCTCCTGACTCATTACATATGCCTGGCACATTCTAGGTCCCAAGGACACAGCCCTGAACATCCTTGTTCACAAGGTCCCTCCACACAAGTGAAGGAGGGAGACAGGATGCAAGGAAACAAACAAAGGGGACAATTTCCAAGAGTGAATAGTGACACATAGGAAATAACATGGGATGGGACTGGTGGGAGCGGGACAGGCTCCTTTAGAGTGGCTAGGTGGGGACACACCAGCTGTGTCTGAGAATGGTAGACCTACAGGCACTCTGGGTTTTTCTTTTCAATTCAAAGAAATTTTAGGGCCCTCAAAATTCACTTCAAAACACACAAATAGGTCATGAGCTACAGTCCAAAAACCACTGCTCTAGGCAGGGGAGATAGTAGCAAAAACAGCCGTGGGTGGGGGTGGTCACGTGAGCTCAAGCCCAGGGCCCAAGGCAGACAGAACGTGGTGAGGCCAGATCTTGGACCAGTGTGCCACTTCCAAGAACATGGACTTTCTCTCGTGTGTGCAGGGGAGGCACCAAACAGTTTTGATCGGGGCATGAGCTCCTGCATATTAAATGGCTCTTTTGCAGCATCTGTGGGAAAAGGGCTGGAGTGAAGTGGGATTGCACCCTTAGCCCTCCCCAGGGTCTGATAATCCTCCCACCTCGGCCTCCCGAGTAGCTGGGATTACAGGCACACGCCACCACACCCAGCTAATTTTTGTATTTTTAGTAGAGATGGGGTTTCACCATGTTGCCCAGGCTGGTCTCAAACTCCTGACCTCCAGTGATCCACCTGTCTCAGCCTCCCAAAGTGCTGGGATTACAGGCACAAGCCACTGTGCCTGGCCTGAAAGATGGATTTGAGGAGAATTTCTAGCTGGCGTAATTGTCCAGTCCAGTCTTCCAAAGCCTGACACTAGGAAGAGAACAGCTTATCACTCCATTTGGGGCTTACACTGTAACAGTGCAGGAGACACACACACATACACACACACAATTATGTGAAATGTGGCAAGGGCGTAGGAAAGGTCAAATTCCAAGGTGGGGTGGGGAACAAGGCAGGCTTCAGGGAGGACGTCACATCTGGGCCTAGCTTGAAGGAACAGGTAAGACTTCAAAAGGTTGAGATTAGGTGGGGGAACCACATCCCACTCAAAAGCAAATAGCTGAGGACAACATGCAACCAGAACACATTCAGAAAACCAGCTGGCACCCCGGCTCTTCCAGCCAGGGGAACGCCAAGGAGTGTGGCCTACCGCCTAGCACAGTTAGGCTCTCCAGAAACAGCTGGTGGCTAACGAACCAGCAAGCCAAAGAACAAAAGAATGACCAGGGGGTAGGAGGAAGCCAGAAAGGTGAACTGAAAACAGACTACGAGCGCAGTGGTCCTCAGTGGTTGTCAGCCGGAATGACTGTCCCTCCAAAGGACACTCAGCAATGTCTGGAGGCATTTTTAGTTGTCATAGCAGGAGGAGGGGAAGTGTTGCTGGCATTTAGTGGGTGGAGGCCAAGGATGCTGCTCAATATCCTTCAACACGCAGGATAGCCCCACAACAAAAACCACAGGGCCCAGGCCGCCGAGGGCCCAGGCCGGGTGCGGTGGCTCACGCCTGTAATCCGAGCAGTTTGGGAGGCCAAGGCAGGCGGATCACGAGGTCAGGAGATCGAGACCATCCTGGCTAACACGGTGAAACTCCATCTCTACTAAAAATACAAAAAATTAGCCGGGCATGGTGGTAGGCGCCTATAGTCCCAGCTACCCGGGAGGCTGAGGCAGGAGAATGGCGTGAACCTTGGAGGCGGAGCTTGCAGTGAGCCGAGATCGCGCCACTGTATTCTAGCCTGGGCGACAGAGCCAGACTCCATCTCAAAAAAAAAAAAAAAAAAATCACAGTCCCCAAAGAGTCAACAGTGTCCAAGTGAAGAAATCTTACTGTAAACTCTGTGCAGGTGAGAGGGGCCACTGAAGTTTTTAAATAAAGACCCTGCCAGACACACACATGAGGTGTTCAGGGTGGGTAGGGGTTGCCGTAATGCTTCCAGGTAGAACCAACAGTAAACTGAGATGCTGGTAGTAGAAATGGCAAGGTGGGAAGAGATTGCAACAATGAGTCGTCCAAGCATTGAACACTGATTGGGATGGGGAGGGAGGAGGCCATTACGGAGGAAAATGAACATTTTTCAACATAATTAGAGGCTGTTAATCAGCTATCATTCTTGAACAGAAGGTTAACAGCCAGTCGCAACAAATAGCTGGTATTTATTGAACACTTAGTCCGAGGCACTGCAACCTGCACTATCTCAGGTAATCCTATGTAACAACCCCATGAGGCCGGGCGCGGTGGCTCAAGCCTGTAATCCCAGCACTTTGGGAGGCCGAGACGGGCGGATCACGAGGTCAGGAGATCAAGACCAGCCTGGCTAACACGGTGAAACCCCGTCTCTACCAAAAAAGACAAAAAACTAGCCGGGCGAGGTGGCGTGCGCCTGTAGTCCCAGCTACCCGGGAGGCTGAGGCAGGAGAATGGCGGGAACCCGGGAGGCGGAGCTTGCAGTGAGCTGAGATCCCGCCACTGCACTCCAGCCTGGGTGACAGAGCGAGACTCCGTCTCAAAAAAAAAAAAAAAAAAAAAAAACACAACCCCATGGGGAAAGGCCCATTATGATTTCTACTTTACACATGAACTGGCTCAAGGTCACACAGAGAAGCCATCTCCTTCCAACACCACACCAACAGTGAGACTGCAGGGCCAGTATCAAGGAAACAAAGGGGGCAAAACCCACTTCTCCACCAAGACAGACATCAGCTATGGAATCACTTTCTTTTTTTTTTCTTTTTTTTTTTTTTTGATACTGAGTCTCGCTCTGTCGCCAGGCTGGAATGCTGTGGCACGATCTCGGCTCACTGCAACCTCCGACTCCCTGGTTCAAGAGACTCTCCTGCCTCAGCCTCCCGAGTAGCTGGGACTACAGGCACGCACCAGCACGCCCGGCTAATTTTTTTTTTTTTTTATTTTTAGTAAAGACAGAGTTTCACCATATTGGCCAGGATGGTCTCAATCTCCTGACCTCGTGATCCACCCGGCTCGGGCTCCCAAAGTGCTGGGATTACAGGCGTGAGCCACCGCGCCCGGCCAATGGAATCACTTTCTAAAGGCAGCCCAGCCATGTCAGAGGGAATTCTCCACAAGATAATCAGAGATGCCAACCCCACCCAAAGCATCTGTAATGAACCTGATTGTTTTGTTTGTTTTTTGAGATGAAGTCTCGCTCTGTCGCTCAGGTTGGAGTGCAGTGGCACAATCTCAGCTCACTGCAACCTCCCCTCCCAGGTTCAAGCAACTCTCCTGCCTCAGCCTACCGAGTCGCTATGATTACAGGTGTGTACCACCACGCCCAGCTAATTTTTGTATTTTTAGTAGAGATGGGGTTTCACCATGTTGGTCAGGCTGGTCTTGAACTCCTGACCTCATGATCCACCTGCCTCAGCCTCCCAAAGTGCTGGGATTACAGGCGTGAGCCACCGTGCCCGGCTAAACCTAATGTATTTCACAAACAAAAATGTGTTCAATCTTTCCAGTGATGAGGGAAATACAAATATAAACAAGTTAGCCCTTTTTGCCTATCAGTTCAGCAAGAATGAAGACAGCTACTAAGATCCAGCATTGATCAGGGTTGACAAGGGGCACTTTCCACCCTTCAGTGGGACTGTGGATCAAATGACTTCAGCTTCTTTGAAAAGCAGGTTGGCAGTACCTGTGAAAATTCTCAGTGCATACACCCTGTAAGCCAGTAACCCCACTTCTACAGAAGTGCACAATAAATATCAGCTGGGCGCGGTGGCTCACGCCTGTAATCCCAGCACTTTGGGAGGCCCAGGTGGGTGGATCACCTGAGGTCAGGCATTCGAGACCAGCCTGACCAACATGGTGAAATCCCATCTCTATTAAAAATACAAAAATTAGCCAGGCATGGTGGCGGGCGCCTGTAGTCCCAACTACTCGGGAGGCTGAGACAGGAGAATTGCTTGAACCCAGGAGGTGGACGTTGCAGTGAGCTGAAATCTCACCATTGCACTCCAGCCTGGGTAACAGAACGTGACTCCATCTCAAAAAAAAAAAAAAGAATAAGTATCGCCTATATCCCAAGTAGCTAAGCATCACTGAAAACACAACCAGAAGCCAGGCACGAAGTAACAGCAGCGTCAGTGCACCACGTGGTGCATCCAAGCACAGAAAGCCCCACCACACTCAAATGAGCCACAAAGGCTACATGTGGAGTGCAGACAGAAATCGGAAAGACACACGCTGACCACAGGCTGCCAGGGAGGCACAGGGGGCAGGAGCAGGGACTGTATCCTGGGTGGCACCATAGATGCTGTTATGGGAATCTTCCTGTTTGGACCCTGGGTGGGAAAATGATGGCCCAGCCAAAGGGTTTTGGTGAGCAGGTGCATTCGACAGACCACAGAGGCTTCTGACAGAAATGCCACAAGGTCCTAAGCCCCCCTCCATCTTCTTCCCTCCTCTGGCAAACAGAATGAGACAGTTCCCGACATTAGGCAGAGGCAACTGTGTTCCAGTGCCAGGGAGGGGATGTCAACAAACAAACAAAAATGACACCACAGCAGCACTGCAGGGGAGGACTCACCTGAGAAAGTGTTGTCTGCAAAACGCAACAGTAAACTGCTCTTGCCCACACCTGCAAGAGAGAAAGCACTGTGATGAGGGGGGCAGGTGGGTCCCCTCCCTCCAGTCCCGGCCCTTCTTCCGGGACAGGATGCCTCAGTACCAATTTTTAAGAAGCTTAGTGGGACCCAGCTCACTTCTCAATGCTCTTTCCACCTCCCTGAGAGGCCGCACACCAAGAACATCTCTTCCACTGGATCCCTGACCTTTTCCTTCGTCCTTGTGTAAGACAAGCTGTTCCCAAATCCCCTGAGGGAGAGATGAGAAAGGGACTGGTGCCCAGGTCCTGGGCTGAGGGCTGGCCCAAAGGGAGATGCCAGACGACAAAGCAGAATGAAGGTCAACCACACGAAACAGCCCCCAAGTCCATCTACAACACAGTCCCTAGAAAAGTGCGCAGCATGTTACGGCACATCGGTTAGGGAGCCGCCCAAAATGCAGAGCTGTGGAGCATGAAAGCACCCTTGAGATCATCAGGGCTATCTTGCAGGTGAGGAAACCGAGGCCCACATAGCTAGAACTTAATGGCCACCATCTTTCTGGCTGATATCCCCACTGGGTGGACTGGTGGAGTGGAGGGTCTGCCTTATATCCATCAGGGCAGCAGCCCACATGTGCTCAGACCGTGCACCAGCCACAGCAGCTCCTGGCTACTTAGAGCACAAACAGGTACACATCTGGCCTCCCCCACTTTTTTTTGTAAAGAAATGGGGTTTCATTCAGTCACTCAGGCTGGAGTGCAATGGTGCAATCATGTCTCCCTGCAGCCTCCAACTCCTAGGCTCAAGTGATCCTCCGGCCTCAGCCTCCTGAGTAGCTGGGACCACATGTGCACACCACCATGCCCGGCTAATTTTTTTTATTTTTAGTAGGGACAGAGTCTTGCTATGTTGCCCAGGCTTATTTTTTTTTAACTTTTGTAGAGACGAGGTCTTGCTATGTTGCCCAAGTTGGTCTCAAACTTCTGGCCTCAAGCAACCCTCTCGCCTGGGCCTCCTGAAGTGCTGGGATTACAGGCATGAGCCATTGTGCCCGGACCTCTCCCCTTGACTTCAACTCACAGTGCTTTCAGCCTGCCAAGTGCACCTGTTCCATGTCCTCCTATCCTGTCCCCAATCTTCAACACCCCTGAGGCCAGCCAGGTTAACTGACCACAAAGAATTCACAGGCATCGGGCTGTGTGTGTGGTGAGCCCTTGGATGCCTCTTTGATGATAATTCTGGCCACATCTCTTGAGATGAGGAAGCCCAGGCCCACAGTGGCCGGCCTAAGTGCCTCTGCGAGCAGCCGGAAAGCTGAGATCCGCAGCCAGGCCCGACTCCTCCAGAGCGGTAACACTCCTCCCAGTACACACTGCTGGGAGTCTTGCGTCTGGTTCAGGAGGGGAAAAAATGGCCCGCGGGGGCTCCTGCATCTCACTCCTGTTCGATTTTTAATGAAAATGCAATGACAGCTATGAAACCCCCTGACACAAAGTGCAGATTTGAGCCGAGGTGTCTATTCATGGGAGAAGCCCACAGCATTTTTTTTTTTTTTTTTTTTTTTGAGAGACAGGGTCTTACTCTGTCTCTCAGGCTGGAGTGCAGTTGTGTGATCATAACTCATTCTAACCTTGAAATCCCCAAGTACCTAGGACTACAGGCATGCGCCACCACACCCAGCAAACTTTTTAAAAATTTTTTGTAGAGATGGCCTCTCACTACGTTGCCCAGGCTGGTCTCAAACTCGTGGTCTCAAACTCCTGGCCTCAAGCAATCTGCCCGCTTCCGCCTCCCAAGGTGCTGGGCTAACAGGCCTGAGCCACTGCATTTGGCCCCACAACTTTTTTTTTTTTTTTTTTTTTTGAGACAGAGTCTCGCTCTGCCGCCCAGGCTGGAGTGCAGTGGCGTGATCTTGGCTCACTGCAAGCTCTGCCTCCCGGGTTCACGCCATTCTCCTGCCTCAGCCTCCCGAGTAGCTGGGACTACAGGCGCCCGCCACCTCGCCCGGCTAGTTTTTTTTTTTTTTGTATTTTTTAGTAGAGACGGGGTTTCACTGTGTCAGCCAGGATGGTCTCGATCTCCTGACCTCGTGATCCACCCGTCTCGGCCTCCCAAAGTGCTGGGATTACAGGCTTGAGCCACCGCACCCGGCTGGCCCCACAACTTTTAATAGATTCTCAAGAAGGGCACTGCCTCCACCCCCACTCTGCCAAGTAACCGAAGTGGCAAACCACTGCTGCAGCTATATTTCCCTAAGCCTAAGCCCAGCATCCTCTCTGGGAGATCCTCTAAACATCCCTTTCTGGGAGCTTCTCCTGGTGAGTGAGCTGCCCCGAGATGCCCAGAAGAACTTGTTTCACTGAGTAAGCCTGAGTCTTACTTTCCTAAAGACAGGCCAGGGTGAGGCTCTCCTGGGCAGGCAGATGCTGCTCAGCCCCGGGCCTGCAGCGCTCATGCTCAGGGCCACTTCCTCCTTGCTCCGCCGTAAGGCTTCCTGCTGAGCCCAAGGAGAGCCCGAGTCCCCGGCTGGGTCCTTCACGGCACTGTGCCCAACACCAGCACCCCACTGGCCTCGCCGCCTCCTCTGCTTCCTCCTGGAGCCTTCTGGGTCCAGCTTACTCAGCTAAAAGCTTGAATCTGGGAGTTTCTCTAGGACAGAGCCCTCTCCTCACCCGCCCTGTGCATTCACAGTGCTGTAAGCCAGGCCCAGCACTTAGTAGGTGCCAACCAAACACTGCTTAATGAATTTCTGCCTAAACAAACGCCTGCCACACTGACAGCTCTGCTATCTAGCGCTACCACTGCAACACAGCAGGCGCCTAAGCAGGGGTTTCCAAACTTCTGCAGGGCAGCAGAATCCTTTTCTTCATCCAAGCTTTACCCAAATCCCATGTCTAAAACAGCTCTCTCTGCAATGACACAGCAGTATCCCCTCTAGCTTGGCCTCTCCAGGTCCCCACACACTGTCCCCAGGTATCTCAGCAGAGCAGTTAAAAGCCACCAGGTTAGGCCGGGCGCGGTGGCTCAAGCCTGTAATCCCAGCACTTTGGGAGGCCGAGACGGGTGGATCACGACGTCAGGAGATCGAGACCATCCTGGCTAACACGGTGAAACCCCGTCTCTACTAAAAAATACAAAAAACTAGCCGGGCGAGGTGGCGGGCGCCTGTAGTCCCAGCTACTCGGGAGGCTGAGGCAGGAGAATGGCGTGAACCCGGGAGGCGGAGCTTGCAGTGAGCTGAGATCCGGCCACTGCACTGCAGCCTGGGTGACAGAGCGAGACTCTGTCTCAAAAAAAAAAAAAAAAAAAAAAAAAAAAGCCACCAGGCTGGCGAGGTGCAGTGGCTCACGCCTGTAATCCCAGCACTTTGGGAGGCCGAGGTGGGCCGATCACGAGGTCAAGAGATTGAGACCATCCTGGCCAACATGGTGAACACCCCATCTCTACTAAAAATACAAAAATTAGCCGGGCGTGGTGGCATGCACCTGTAGTCCCAGCTACTCAGGAGGCTGAGGCAGGAGAATTGCTTGAACCCAGGAGGTGGAGGTTGCAGTGAGCCAAGATAGTGCCACTGCACTCCAGACTGGTGTCACAGTGAGACTCCATCTCAAAAAAAAAAAGAAAAAAAATTGGGAGGCCGAGGCAGGCAGATCACGAGGTCAGGAGTTCCAGACCAGCCTGACCAATATGATGAAACTCTATCACTACTAAAAATACAAAAATTAGCCAGGTGTGGTGGCGCACGCCTGTAATCCCAGCTACTTGGGAGGCTGAGGCAGGAGAACTGCTTGAACCCAGGAGGCAGAGGTTGCAGTGAACTGAGATCATGCCACTGTACTCCAATATGGGCAACAGAGCCAGACTCCATCTCAAAAAAAAAAGCCACTAGGCTGCAGAAAGACCACAACCATCACCACATTATCTGCTGCTTTGGACCTGACATTAACCTCTGACACTGCTCTCCCTTTGAGAGGAACAGAAACCCACCCCAAGAAATGCTACCTCCTAAATATTCCTGAAAGAGGCTTTCTCAGAAATACAAGCTGCAGCCATTACCCACACCACCAGTGTCAGGGCAGAGGCAGAAGGCACCAGTCAACCTTCACCATAGCCACCGCGAGGCTGCCCAAGGGCCACATCAGTGTGACCCCAACCAGTCCAGCCCGTCATTCTTTTTCTTTCTTTTTTTTTTTTTTTTGAGATGGAGTCTCACTCTGTTGCCCAGGCTGGAGTGCAGTGGCGCGATCTTGGCTGCAACCTCTACCTCCCAGATTCAAGTGATTCTCCTGCCTCAGCCTCCCGAGTAGCTGGGATTCCAGGCGCCCACCATCATACCCAGCTAATTTTTTGTATTGTTAGTAGAGACAGGGTTTCACCACGTTGGCCAAGCTGGTCTCGAGCTCCTGACCTCAAGTAATCTGCCTGCCTCGGCCTCCCAAAGTGCTGGGATTATAGAAGCGAGCCACTGCGCCCAGCCTTTTATCCCTGGCTGCTGTCTGGTCCCCACCACGCAAGCCACACACATGTCTTCCCTTCCCCCTGCTCCTGCCTGGGCTCTGGCCCCTCACTCCTGTCGGCTTCAGTTCCACCTCCTGAAGAGCCCCAGACCTTTCAGTGAAGTGTTCTCTATTTTTTTTGAAACAGGGACTTGCTCTGTTGCTCAGGCTAAAGTGCAGCAGCATGATCACAGCTCACTGCAGTCTCAACCTCCCAGACTCAAGAGATCCTCCCACCTCAGCCTCCCAAGTAGCTGAGACCACAGGCGTGCACCACCATGTCCTGCTAATTTTCTTATTTTTTGTTGAGACAGGGCCTCCCTGTGTTGCCCAGGCTGGTCTCAGACTCCTGGGCTCAAGTGATCCTCCACGTTGGCCTCCCAAAGTGCTGGGATTACAGGTGTGAGCCACCGTGCCTGGACTTTTTTTTTTTTTTTTTTTTTTTTGAGACAGTGTCTCACTCTGTCACCCAGGCTGGAGTGCAGCTGTGTGATCCTAACTCCCTGTAACTTTGAACTCCTGGGTTAAAACAATCTTCCTGTCTCAGCCTCCCACGTAGCTGGGACTATAGATGTGCACCACCATGCCCAACTGATTTTTTTTTTTTTTTTAAGAGATGGGGTCTCTGGCCGGGCGCGGTGGCTCAAGCCTGTAATCCCAGCACTTTGGGAGGCCGAGACGGGTGGATCACGAGGTCAGGAGATCGAGACCATCCTGGCTAACACGGTGAAACCCCGTCTCTACTAAAAAAATACAAAAAAATTAGCCGGGCGAGGTGGTGGGCGCCTGTAGTCCCAGCTACTCGGGAGGCTGAGGCAGGAGAATGGCGGGAACCCGGGAGGCGGAGCTTGCAGTGAGCCGAGATCGCGCCACTGCACTCCAGCCCGGGCGACAGAGCGAGACTCCGTCTCAAAAAAAAAAAAAAAAAAAAAAAAAAAAAAAGAGATGGGGTCTCACTATCACTATGTTGCTCTCACTATGGTCTCGAGTTCAAGTGTTCCTCCCGCCTCATCCTCCCAAAGCACTGGGATGAGCTACTGTCCCCGGCCATGTTCTCAATTTTAATCGTGCCTCAGCAACTACTTCACTGTATAAACTCATGCAAGTCACACCCTCTCTCTGAGCCTCAGTTTACTCATCTGTCAAGTGAAGGGCTAACTCCATCTCCTAATGAGGATGGCTGGCCTGAGGGATGCAGACGAAATGCTGTTACAAATCAAAGCCAGTGTCAGAGAGTGTAAGGGAAAGTACAGAAAATACAGAACTGGCCGGGCATGGTGGCTCACGTCTGTAATCCCAGCACTTTGGGAGGCCGAGGTGGGCGGATCACGAGGTCAGGAGATCGAGACCATCCCGGCTAACACGGTGAAACCCGGTCTCTACTAAAAATACAAAAAATTAGCCAGGCGTGGTGGCGGGCGCCTGTAGACTCAGCTACTCGGGAGGCTGAGGCAGGAGAACAGTGTGAACCCGGGAGGCGCGGTCGGCAGTGAGATTGCACCACTGTACTCTAGCCTGGGTGACAAAGCGAGACTCCGTCTCAAAAAAAAAAAAAGAAAAGAAAAGAAAATATAGAACCTCCAGCATAACGAAGGGATGCAGAGGTCGAGGGAATCCATTGCAGAAGCATCCACAATGTGCAGAGTGGGCAGAACTCTAGATTTATGAAGAAAGAAACCAGCATTCATGGAGGGCCTATTGTTTGCCAGCCCTGACACCAGCTGCTCGCACACGTATTAGCACTGAGGTGCAGTAGCTCCCAGCTTTGCCCCTGCTGAGTTGTGTGATTTGGGGCAAGTAAGTCACCTCCTCTGAGCCTCAGTTTCCTTCTTTTAGAGTTTCATTCTTGTCGCCCAGGCTGGAGTACAATGGTGCGATCTTGGTTCACTGCAACTTCTGCCTACCAGGTTCAAGTGATTCTCCCGCCTCAGTCTCCCAAGTAGCTGGGATTACAGGCACATTCCACCATGCCCCACTACTTTTGTATTTTTAGCAGAGACGAGGTTTCATCATGTTGCCCAAGTTGGTCTCAAACTCCTGACTTCAGGTAATCCGCCGGCCTCAGCCTCCCAAAGTGCTGTGATTACAGGTGTGAACCACCATGCCGGGCCTTAAGCCTTAGTTTCCTTATCTGACAAACCACACAGGCCGCGGGTGAGAATAAGCGTCTGTGAAATCGTTCTTAAGGAGGCATTCACAGAAGGAGCCCAGTTCAGGAGTGTGTGATGTCAGTCTCTGTGCTCAGCTGCCAAAGCTTAGTCTGGACTTCCATGGCTACCATCTCCCAGCTTTGAGTATCTCAATGTCGGGAGAAATCAAAGAGCACAGTGTCTACCTCCACTGAACAACCTACACCTACATGGCTGACCTAGGAGCTAGACCACATCAATCTCGACCCAATGAGTCTTCTCCCACACCTGACTTTGGAGAGAAAAATCAATTCATCACAAAAAAAGTACTGTCAGAAAGCGGGCCAACCCATCCCCTGGGCTTTACAGAGGAGAAGAGCCAAAAAGCTGCATCTTCCTGCTGAGTTTAGGCTTTTCACAGTTGGGTATCAACACAGAGGTCCAAGATGTCTTGCAGAGGGATAAAGGCTCCTGATCACGGCGGGCTGACTGTCACTCCAAAAAGACAGAAATGGCCCCAGTGCCAGTCCCTCAGAACCCAGGCCAGGGCTGCAAGGAAATCATGTAAAGGAAGAAGCCTCAAGACCCTGAAGAATGCCAAAGGCCATCTCCAAGAGAACATTCCACAGCATGCCTGGTTTCCCTTCATTCAAACCATAACCAATCAGTCCTCCACCTTTCTACCTCTTTCCCCAACCTCAGTTAATCTTCTATCTCCCTGGTTAGCCCCCAACTTTCCCCCTTACCTCTCCCCTCCTCCAGCAACCACGGAAACCTCAGCCATCCTTCACCTGATCCAAACCACCAACCACATCTCCATCCAGCTTTACAAGTGAGGCCAAAACCACCCACCTCCCTGACCCTGTTCTGACATTGCTACCCAACACTTCTACATCCCAAGTCTTACTGCTCACTTGATTTGATCCCTTTCCCTTAACAGTCCATGGGCTCTACCATGAGCCTGGCCTCTGCTCCCAATCACAAGACATCCTCCCCACACTCAGCTCAGGTCTGGTCTACAAACTGAGCATGCTCCCAAGACTGTTTCATGAACATCCTATAACCCCAGCATCTCAGCTTCGCTCCCATAAACGTTCTGGGGCCTGCCTCCCTGACCTCTTGGTCACTCCATAAACCTGCTCACCTGCTACACTCCAAACAGCTCTAAAACCCTCCACATTTTCCCAGAAACCAGTCTACCTTTTCGAAGCACACTTAATATTCATTCATTCATTCTGCAAATACGTCTTAAGCACTTACTGGGTGCCAGGCACTGTTCTAGGCACTGGAGCTAGAGCAGTGATCAGGGCTAGGAGCCCTCAAGCAATGTGTGTGTGTGTGTGTGTGTGTGTGTGTGTGTGTGTGTGTGTGTGTGGCCAAAGCGCTTTTATAATTTTGGCTGTCCCATCCCCAGGACCCCTCTGTATATAGTAGTGTAACAGCAAACAGAGACAACTCACTATGTGCCAGGAGCTGTGCGAAACACTGCACAATCTCACTTAATACTCACATCAACTCCATAAGGCAGATCCAACTATCATTCCATTTTACAGATGAGGAAACTGAACCATGCAGAGATATAATAATTCAGCGGGAATATGCCAGGCCTTGTGCAAAGCCCTTTATCCGACTTACCTCATTTAAAACTCAGGGCAATCCCATGAGGCAGGTTCTGAGAACGTCCTCATTTTAGATGGGAAGAAACTGACGCTTACAAAGGATACTGATGATAACGACAATTGTGAACATTTACTTAGAGCTTACTTTACCGAGTAGGGCGCTAAGCACTTTTCCTTCTTTATCCCATCGAATCCTCACACCACCCAGCAAGGCACGTCCCCACTTCTCAGATGAGGGTACTGAGGCTCAGGACGGCGAAGCAACTTGCCCAAGGTCAGCGCGCGGCAGGTGGTAGTCCTGAGACTCGAACCCAGGTCTCTCCAACTCCAGCGATCGCGCGACTTGACCAAGGTCACACGTGAGGCACGGGCAGGCGCGATGACTGGACCCGGCGCGCTCGGCCCCTCCGCCCCTCCGCCCCGCGCCCAACCTCCCCTCGGCGCGGCCCGGAGCCCCTCGGCGCACCCCTGGGGCCCAGACCGCCGGGCTGCCCCGCCCGCCCGCCCCGCGCGGGCCGGCACCTCCCCGCCCGCCCGCCACCCCGAGGCCCCCGCGGGCCGCGCCCGGCAGGGCCCGCGCCGCCTCCGGCCGCTGCGGCCCTCACCGCTGTCGCCGATGATGAGCAGCTTGAAGAGGTGGTCGTAGTCCCGGGCCATGGCGGGCGGGGGCGGTGCGCGCGGGCGGGCGGGGTCGGTACTGGCCTCGCGATCCGCAGCTCCCTCCGGGCTGCTCCGGCAGCGGCGGATCCACTTCCCGAACAAACAGCCGGAACTGACAGAAACACCTCCCTCCGCTCCCCCTCCTCCTCCTCCTCAGCAGCCGCCGCTGCTACCACCGCCTCCCTCCTTCCCGCCCCGCCCCACCAGTGCGCAGGCGCAGCGTCTGGCACCGCCTTGCGCAGCCGCAGCCCGAGCCAGCCGCGCCCTCGCCGCGCACGCGCCCCGCGCACGCGCCCTGACGGAGTCCTGGCGAGCGCGGGCCCGTCTTCCTCGCGTCTCCTGCGGGAGCTTCGCCGCCGCTGCCCTCGGCGCTGAGAGCTTGCGGAGCCGAGCTGCTGTCGAGTCCCAGCTGAAAGAAGTCCAAGGTGCCGGAGAAGCCCAGTCGTGGACGTTCTCGCTCCCTCATCTTCGAGACCCGCACGCCCTACGGAGAGGAAATGACAGGCACGCCGTGACCGTGGGGCGGTGCTCGCGCGAGCTCCGGGTTTCTCGAGTCCGGGGCCGGGCCGGGGCCGTGAAAGGCAGAGTGGCGCGGGGAAGGCCCGGTACCCCGCCGCTTCCGCACCGACCCCTCCCCCGCGGAGCTGGTCCAGGCCCCAGGCCTGTGGACTGGACCCCGAGGGCGGCGGGCGGCTGCCGAGTTGGGCAGCACGGAAGCTGCCGGCGGGAGCGGAGCTGCGAGGAGATGGCCTTTTGAGGGCAGCGCGGGGTCGAAATACCATCCCAGCGCTGTGACCTCTTGGAGCCCACGTTTCCTCTTTGGTGGAGGGGAGGGAGTGGTCCAGATTCAGAGTCCCTTGCAGTTCGGAGCGGAGCCTGGGAGCTGAATGACCCAGTGTGCAAGGCGCACCTCGGAGACAGAAAGCAACCGCTCCCCCGGCTTCAATTTCACACCACCTGCAGATACACATCTCAGAATCTGCGGCTAGGAAGACCTGGGCCGCCAGAAGCTAAGCGTGTGCATTTTATCATCGGCCCTTGGTTTCTCGTTTTAGAGTGAGTTCCCACCTGCCCTACCTAAACTGACCTGAAACGGAAAGTTGTATGCCCCCACGGCTGTCCTCACTGCAGAACTGCAGAGGGTTTTAAGCTCCTTATTACCTGTTTCTTATAACCCTGTCCCTTTCCAGGCGAGTATTTATTGGATATTTCTACTTGTTTTGTCAAACTTCCTTTTCTTTTGACTTTATAAAAAGCAATGCCGGGAGGCTGAGGCAGGAGAATCGCTTGAACCCGGGAGACGGAGGTTGCAGTGAGCTGAGATCTCGCCATTGCACTCCAGTCTGGGCAAAAAGAGCGAAACTCTGTCTCAAAAAAAAAAGAAAAAAAAAATGCTCGTCCTTAAAATTATGTGCAGAAGCTTACTGAAAAGTACAAGTTACTATTTTTCCTTCTGAAGTACTCCTCACAGGTAACCTTAAAATGCTTAAAACACGTAATTGTTGAATGAATAAATGCCCCTCAGTGAATTTCCTTTGCCGTTACAAACATATGTACGTACCTTGCTTTTTCTGTTTAACAGTATACTTTTATCATTTAACATCTGCGTGATATAGTATTCCATCCGATGGTTGTATTATTATTTAACCACTCCGCTATTAATAGACATTCATGTTGTTTGTATTTTTTGGTTATTATAAACATTGTTGCAGGCGAGATCATTGAACAACACATGGAGTGTCTGACTCAAGCCTTGAGTTGTTTTTTCGGGAGCTGAGAATCAGTGTGATGTGGAAAGAAGATGAGCTTGGAATCTGAAGGTAGTGGCCAGGGAGAAGAGCTGCTCATGTGCTCCCAATAGAAAGTCCCCCTTGGTCTGTAAGGTTAGGGCTATCCTCTGACTCAGCAATTTTAGGAAACTGAGAAGGAAGCCTCAGTGGAGCCACCAGGGAGGCACACCCAGCCCTGACCAGCCAGTGGTCCTCCCAGCTTATCTTCACAACCTGGGCTGGAGTGGGGAAGACTTTTGTTCCAGTGCTAGCTTTGGAATCCTGGCCTCCATCCCTTAAAAGCTTTGTGATCTTAGGTAAGTCACATCACACTATCTCAGAGCCCCCGGTTCCTCACAGAATGGTTGTTTTAGAGTTATGTTGGTAAATTACCTGGCACATACAGGCATGTGACAGACTGTAACCAATGTTACTCAAGGTCATTTTGCACTGATTCATACTTTGAGCCATTTCCTACTGTAGACTTGCACACATTTTCAAGGTAGCTTCCTGATAATAGGGTTGTGGGATATTTTTGGGAAATAAATCCAAATTGGCCATTAAAACCAGATTCCTGACTTTGCCTGGATGTGTCATCTGGAAAGCAATCTGCATGAATTCCTTCATTTCTTTGGTAACTATTTAATGAGTACTTATGTGCTACGGATTGCAGAGGGTATAAGAACAGAGCCTTAGGCCGGACGCAGTGGCTCACGCCTGTAATCCCAGCACTTTGGGAGGCCGAGGCGGGAGGATCACGAGGTCAGGAGTTCAAGACCAGCCTGGCCAAGATGGTGAAACCCCGTTTCTACTAAAAATACAAAAATTAGCTGGGCTCGGTGGCAGGTGTCAGTAATCCCAGCTACTCGGGAGGCTAAGGCAGGAGAATGTCTTGAACCCGGGTGGCAGAGGTTACCGTGAGCCAAGATCGCACCACTGCACTCCAGCCTGGGTGACAGAGCAAGACTCCGTCTTAAAAAAAAAAAAAGAAAGAAACAGAGCCTTTTCCCTCTAGTTTACAGCCTCATCAGAGTTAAGACATACTCATGAGGAAATTGAAAGTGTAAGACAATACAGTAGATAGAAAAGCTGTCAAATAGGCAGTCTAGACTTCAGAGGAGGAAAGCTATAGCTTTTAGTTAGAATGATGGGGAGAAGATTTCATCATAAAAATGTCATGATGGCACTGGAATAGAAGAGCTTTGTATTTAGACAGTCCCTGTCACAGCCTATGAGAATCATTTGGCTTGGAGGGGGAATTCCCTGCAGGCCAGGGTATGTGCCTGGCATCTCAAAATGAATCTTTCAGCACATTTTCCTCTGGAAACATTGTTACACATTTATTTAAATGTTCAATGATGAATTATGTTAAGCTGTCTTTCTCCTTGTCACCATATACATATGTAAACTTGTGACCTAAAGGATCAGTGTGTCCCATAATGGGAAACTGTTCCACTGCTCTGAACAGCTAACTTACAGATGAACTTTTGCAACACCACCTGTTTGCACATTAGAAACTGTTAATACGATGAGGAGGCATTGAAAGTTTTTGAGCAAAGATGCAATCTCTAAATATTTTAGCGAAGTAATCTGGCAGGAGTATGCAGGATGGATTTCAGCTGCAGAGCTTTAAAGGTTATTGCTGAAGACTGGGCGTAAGGTAACAGGGACAGATGCAAAAGAAAATATGCAAACTTATAAAGCAGACAAAGCAGCTTCCAAAAAAAATCACATAATTTACCTGGTAACTGGATTCATTCCTTAATTTAGTAAATATTTGCACAGTGGCCTGGTGCAGTGGCTCACGCCTGTAATCCCAGCACTTTGGGCGGCCGAGGCGGGTGGATCATGAGGTCAGAAGATTGAGACTATCCTGGCTAACATGGTGAAACCCCGTCTCTACTAAAAATACAAAAAAATTAGCTGGGCGTGGTGGCACATGGCTGTAGTCCCAGCTACTCGGGAGGCTGAGGCAGGAGAATCACTTGAACCCGGGAGGCGAAGGTTGCAGTGAGCCAAGATCGCATCACTGCACTCCAGCCTGGGCGACAGAGTGAGACTCCATTTCAAAAAAAAAAAATTGCAGTTACTAGGTGTTAGGCACTGTGCTGAGCACGAGGCTATAACATGAACAAAACAAAGCTCCTGTCCTCATGGAGTTTGTAGTTTAGTGGGGAACAAGTCATTCGCTCATTTGACAAACACTTGAGGGCCTACTGTTATGCCAGACATTGATCTAGGAGCTAACGATTCAGCAGTAAGTAAAATTTTAAAATCCCAGCTTTCATAGAGCTTACATTCTGATAGAGAATGTCCAAGTATGTCCAAGGAGAAAAGTAAAGCAGGGAGCACACTGAGGTTTGCAGAAGCAGAGGGTGGAGCCACAGAGGTGGCAGGAAGTTTCGCAGTGGATGAAAAGAGAATGCTTGGTGGTGAGAGCAGTGGCGCTCATGAAGTATTTTTCAAGATAGTGGAAGCAGAGGATTCGCAGCCAGGAAATAAGGAGTGAATATTTGGAGGGAAGATGAGCTAAGGGCACTTCAAAGAGCTTTGGGAAGTAAGGTGTCACCAACCAGAAGGCTAAGTGGGTCAAGGAGAGGGGAACCTCAGTCCCTCAAGGGTAGCAGTGTCAGGGATGAAGGTCAGTACAGTGGAGATTGGAGGGACCTGTGAAATCCATGTATCAGACAGCAACATGGACTTCAAAGCTGCTAAGTGCCAGGTAGCAAGGGAGGGAATGTGCTGTGATCATCCAGGAAGGAAGCAGTGGCTGGTGAATCAGAACTCAGAGAAGGCAGGTAAACCGGCTGACGGACTTTAAATTAGGAGCAAGATGGGGACCACTCAGCATACTGGTCCAAGAGGGAAGGAGATATGACACCTGGTCTCTCCCTCTGATGGAAGTGGAAATGGGCCCCTTCCACACCTGCAAGCCCAATGCCACACCAAGAAACTTGGCAGCAGGCCTTGCCCTGCCCTTATGTAGCTCCCAGAAATTAAATGAATGTAAGTGCCATGATTCCAGGGACCATCTCTTTATCTTTGTATCCTCTGGAGACCCAGTGCCTGGTAGGTGTTTGATACCTGTTGAGTTAAAGTGAAGCCACATACAGAACGTGAGAGTTGGAAAGAATGTCAGACACAATTAGTTGAACCCTCTCTTGAGTTCACTTTTTGGGTGTGGGCCAAACTTGGGGTCTAACTCAGGGTCAACTTCTTCCCCTGACCTCAAACCGTTTAGGAGAAATTTTCTCACTCAACTTTTATATTATTAGATCAGTGGTTTTGCAAGTGTTGTCAGGACCGCAGGGCTCCTAAGACCCTTTTAAAGGATCTGCAAAGTCAAAACAGGTTCACAGTACTAAGATGTGATTTGCCTTTTTCACTTTCATTTCCTTACAGTGTACAGTGTTTCCTAGAGCCTACATGATGCGTGATATCACAGCAGACCAAATGCAGAGCTGACATGCGAATCCAGACATTAGAAACCTGAAAAAAATGTGCAACAATGCCACTTGAACAGTTTTGATTTGTTGTTGTTGTTTGTTTTTGAGACTGGGTCTCTTGCCCAAGCTGGGAGTGCAGTGGTACGATCATGGCTCACTGCAGCCTTGACCTCCTGGACTGAAGTGAACCTCCCACCTCAACTTCCTGAGTAGCTGGGACTGCAGGTGCATGCATCACTATGCTTGGCTTTTTTTTTTTTTTTTGAGATGGAGTCTTGCTCTGTTGCTCAGGCGGGAGCTGGAGTGCAGTGGCATGATCTCAGCTCATTGCATCCTCTGCCTCCTGGGTTCAAGTAATTCTCCTGCCTCAGCTTCCTGAGTAGCTGGGATTATAGGTATATGCCACCATGCCCAGCTAATTTTTATGTTTTTAGTAGAGACGGGGTTTCACCATGTTGGCCAGGCTGGTCTTGAACTCCTGACCTCAGGTGATCTGCCCACCTCGGCCTCCGAGAGTGCTGGGATTACAGGTGTGAGCCACTGCGTCTGGCTGCTTTTTTTTTTTTTTTTTTTTTTTGAGACGGAGTCTTGCTCTGTCACCCAGGCTGGAGTGCAGTGGCCGGATCTCAGCTCACTGCAAGCTCCGCCTCCCGGGTTTACGCCATTCTCCTGCCTCAGCCTCCCGAGTAGCTGGGACTACAGGCGCCCGCCACCTCGCCCGGTTATTTTTTTGTATTTTTTAGTAGAGACGGGGTTTCACCGTGTTAGCCGGGATCGTCTCTCGATCTCCTGACCTCGTGATCCGCCCGTCTCGGCCTCCCAAAGTGCTGGGATTACAGGCTTGAGCCACCGCGCCCGGCCTTTTTTTTTAATTTTTAAATTCTTTGTACAGACAACAGTCTCACCATGTTGCCCAGGCTGGTCTTGAACTCCTGGCCTCAAACCATCCTCCCACCTCAGCCTCCCAAAGTGTCAGGATTATAGGCGTGAGCCACCATGCCTAGCCCGGTTTTGACTCCTAAGATGCTAAATATTAATAGGTAAGATAGATATACACAAGAGCTCTTTGGTGTTGTCAAAAAAAAAAAAAAATTCAAAATATAAAAGGATCCTGGCTGGGCACAGTGACTCTCACCTGTAATCCCAGCACTTCGGAAGGCTGAGGAGGGAGGATGGCTCAAGGCCAGGAGTTCAAGACCAGCCTGGGTAACATAGTGAAACCCTCATCTCTACAAAAAATTTAAAAAAATTAGCCAGGCTGGGCCTTGGGAGGCCAAGATGGGTGGATTACCTGAGGTCAGAGTTCATGACCAGCCTGACCAATATGGTGAAACCCCATCTCTACTAAAAATACAAAAAAAAATTAGCTGGGCATGGTGGCGGACGCCTGTAATCTCAGCTACTCTGGAGGCTGAGGCATGAGAATCACCTGAATCTGGGAGGCAGAGGCTGCAGTGAGCCAAGATCACGCCACTGCACTCCAGCCTGGGCGACAAGAGTGAGACTCCATCTCAAGAACAAAATTAGCCAGGAGTGGTGGTGCATGGCTGTAGTCCTAGCTGCTCAGGAGGCTGAGGCAAGAGGATCACTTGAGCTCAAGAGCTCGAGGTTGCAGTGAGCTGTGATCATATCATTGCACTCCAGCCCGGTGACAGAGCAGTGCCCTGAATGTAAATAAATAAAGGAGTCTTGAGGGCAAAATATTTGTGAAACACTAGATTCAATGCAGCACCCCGGCTTCCTAGCTCCCTTTTTTTGTGGGAATCTTAAGTGGTAAGAAGGAGCTAATGTAAATACATTCAAAACCCACAGCTTTCTCTTGTGGGACTGCGGGGAACAGCTCGGGGCACAGCTTAGAGGAATTATCATGCACTAATTGTCCCTGTGACCAGGCCGCCATCTCACTAGAGAAATAGCTCACAGGAGGGAACCTGACAGGGACTGGGGTATCCATTCAGGCACAATCAGGAAGGTCTCACCTAGAAATCCCACTAAGGCAATCATCCCTCGGACCAGTTTTTCCAGTTTCTTGAGCTGTGTTGACATCAACACCCCTTCCCCTGGGGCAGGCAGCAGGGACCCCTCCTAACAGAACCCAGGGGCAACTCAGTCACCCTGTGAAATAACTGGGCTCCACCTCTTTAAAAAGTGAAACCCAGTCACATGCCAAGAACTTGTTTCTTTTGTTACATTCACCTTCCAAATTATTTTTATAGCATGCCCCTGGGGCTTGGTGAGCAGACAATCAAGAAATACGGGTTTTTCCCAGTTCTGCCAACATGACCTCAGAGATGCTCCTTTCCACCTGTGCCTCAACTTACTCTTCATAAAATAAAGACCACGTCCTGCCAGCCTCTCACGACTCTAACAGTGGAGGTAACGTGCCTTCCTGCCCATGCACAGTGGAGACCATCTGTGTGCTGGTGTATGTACACTCAGCATTTTGGAGAATCAAACATAGCCACCATCATAATTTCTCAAAAGAAATCTCATTCCCCATCATCCTTGTTTCACTGTCACCATCCATGTATCCAGAACCTCCTATGTGTGCCTGGCTCTGTGCAAAGTGCATTATGTCATTCAACACAGATGACAACGCGGTGAGACTCAGCTGTCAAGATGAGGAGATGCACTCAGAGGTTAAGGAACATGGTCTAGGTCACACAGCTTAGTATTAAGCAGAGAAATTAAGGTTCGAACCTGTCCTGGAAGTCCCTGTGGCTGCACTATCCTGCACTAGAACTTGAAAGCGATATCTACATTTCCTTGACAATATTTTAGAACCTAGACCTTTTAAGTTAGATTGGTTCCTTTTTCCTCATTGAAACACATCCACAGAGCCACACATTGAGGAAAAACATTCCTAACTGCCAATTGTGTTTAAAAATCTGTCAAATAACGTCTCCAATCCCTGCACCCAAAAACTGTCAACTCTGCAGCCTCCCTGCCACTCTCCCGTCTTCCAGCATCACAGTATTGGACAAAGAGAATGTACCTGAAGGCCTGGTTCCTTGAAGGGTTGCGTGAACCATGTTTTAACAATAACCCCCCCACCGCCTTTATTTTTTGAGACAGAGTCTCGTTCTGTCCAGGCTGGAGTGTAGTAGCGCAATCTTGGCTCACTGCAACCTCCGCCTCCTACCTCAGCCTCCTGAGTAGCTGGGACTACAGGCACCCATCACCAAGCCCAGCTAATTTTTGTATTTTTAGTAAAGACAGGGTTTCACCATGTTGGTCAGACTGGTCTTGCTCCTGACCTGAGGTGATCCTCCCGCCTCGACCTGATTCCCCTATTTTTTTTTTTTTTTTTTTTTTTGAGACAGAGTCTTGCTCTGTCGCCCAGGCTGGGTGCAGTGGCCGGATCTCAGCTCACTGCAAGCTCCGCCTCCCGGGTTTAGACCATTCTCCTGCCTCAGCCTCCCGAGTAGCTGGGACTACAGGCGCCCGCCACCTCGCCCAGCTAGTTTTTTGTATTTTTTAGTAGAGACGGGGTTTCACCGTGTTAGCCAGGATGGTCTCGATCTCCTGACCTCGTGATCCGCCCGTCTCTGCCTCCCAAAGTGCTAGGATTACAGGCTTGAGCCACCGCGCCCGGCCACGATTCCCCTACTTTTTAAATCATCTTGCTGCCCATGATTCCTGAGGCTCCCAGAGTTAGGCGAAGGTTTGGGAATGCTCAGTTTATAACTTTTTCAGTTTTCTCTGGATTAGTTAAGAGAATATGACTTCATCACTGACTTTCAGACTCAAGGAAGAGAAAGATGGACAGTCTCCTCTGGAAGATCACTGCGAGTCTTTGAGAATACTCTGCTTTCTCTGAAGACTTTCCTAGCCAGTGTCCTGTTAAATGGAGTGAGGTCTTCCTCCCCACAGCCTGCAGAGCAGCTGGGTAGGGCTGGAGGTGGGTGGCGTCCCTGGGCAAGGCAGCTGGAGCTGTTCACCTAGTGTGCTGTACACATACTCATTTCCTGTATGTACCTGGATGGGAAAATTCTGGAGGCTCCGCTCTAAAGAATGAAAAATGTTGATGGCTAACTAGCTGTCATAGGAGAAGAATAAGACTAAAAATAGAGGTCTGGGGACAGACTGCCATTTACTAGCCATATGGCCCTGGGTGAGTGGCCTCTCTGTGCCTCAGTTTCCTCCTCTAGAAAATAGTATTGAGGACCTGCTTCATAGAACTGTTAAGAGGATTAAATTAAATGATACCAAATGTCATCTGTTAAGTACCATTAACCTAGAGAGTACCACCACCTAGAGAGTAACTTTGAGAATAAATTTTTATTTATTTTTTTTTTTTGAGACGGAGTCTCACGCTGTTGCCCAGGCTGGAGTGCAGTGGCGCGATCTCGGCTCACTGCAAGCTCCGCCTCCTGGGTTCACGCCATTCTCCTGCCTCAGCCTCCTGAGTAGCTGGGACTACAGGCGCCCGCCACCGCGCCCGGCTAATTTTTTGTATTTTTAGTAGAGACGGGGTTTCACTGTGGTCTCGATCTCCTGACCTTGTGATCCGCCCGCCTCGGCCTCCCAAAGTGCTGGGATTACAGGCTTGAGCCACCGCGCCCGGCCGAGAATAAATTTTTAAAGCTTCTCTTCCAAATTCCTCATTGTACAAATGAGGAAACTGGCCCAGGGAGGTCAGATGACTTGCCCAAGGGAAAACAGCTGTACCAGCCTCCAGGACAAATAGCTTCTGCTTCTCTGCTGCTAACCTCAATGTCCCCAGGGTGCTTGGTCTGGGCTGCTGTTCTCAGGATTGCTAGGACTTTGGGCTGACAAGGTCCTTTCTGCTGGCTCCCCTGGCATGTCCACAACAGCCCTTCATGGCTTACTTCCTGAGAGCTCACACTCTCCTTCCAGACTTGGAATGCAACTCAATATGCTCTGGGAGCCTTTGAGTCATCCCAACTGTCAGTCAAGCTCCATCCATTCCGAACAGAGAGCACTCATCCTCCTCCGGTTTCTGGAACTGGAATCTGGTGTTTTTCCTTTGGATTTTGCTTAATGAGTGTCTGATACCTCTAAGTATGTCAGGTTCCCCTCCCAGTTGCAGAATGGGGGCTAAAAGCCACAGGTGGATATCAGCATCTGATCCAAGACCCTGGAGGAAACAGTGAAGATGGCCTCAGGCTTAACAGGTTTCCCAGCCCATGCCCTCAACAGAAACTTTGCCCGTCTCTCCCCACAGCTGACCGGTGGAGGGGAACACATTTGCAGACAGCCTGATGGACACATGCCCTTGGCAGCTGGGAGGATGCTGATGACCATCCGAATTTCAGAGGCAGAGAACGGTTACCATAGCTACCAAAAGTTGTAGCCATTGGCTGTTTTGGCTACGAGGACTCAGCTGACCTCTCAAGGTCCCTTCCAGCCCTGGGATTCTACAATTACCTCGAGCCAGCTGACACCATGTCTGCTGCAAGAAAATAGGGCTTGTGAGAAGTGCCTTAGAGGTCACCTTGTCTTATTCATCAGAAGTGTTGAGTCACAGGCCTACTTTCTACCTTGGCTGCATTATTAATAACCAAAGTTTTGCTTTTTTTGGCATAGCATTTGTATACCTTTTATAAACTGAGTTTGCCACCACCACTTTTTATTTCTCTTCCTTTTACAGTTCAGGCCAGTAATTTTGACAGAGGTTTGTCCTGTATTGTGGCCAGGGAACAGCCCAGAAAAACTTGCATCACTAGGCCCAGTGGGGTGTGCTTCATCAGACAGAATGTGTGTGTCACGAGCCTTCTAAGAATCAGGAGGAAGGAAGTCATTCATAAAGGAGGCAGATGCTGAAATGCAACTTTGGTTTCCTCTTGCAAGTCCTTCAACTATAGGAATGTGGCTCTTACTCACGGGGGGCTGGATTTCTCTTTACAACCTGAGTACCAGAAGCTCCCTACCTTTCCAAGTCAGAACAGAACAGGAAAGTGGCTAATTTGACCTTTGCATTCTCCACATTGAGGGAGATCATAGGCTGGGCTGCATACCTCTCAAAACCCAACCACAGGACAGAAGTCTACACGGATTCCTAAGACTTTTGAAAGCAGGGGAGAGATATGCCCAGAAATCAGAGAACTGTGAATACTTACAAAAACAGTTGCAAACCTTTCCTTATTCCTGATGCAGGAAGCTTCATGTTTAATGGGTGTTTGGAGATTTTTTTTTTTTTTTTTTTTTTGAGACGGAGTCTCGCTCTGTCACCCAGGCTGGAGTGCAGTGGCCGGATCTCAGCTCACTGCAAGCTCCGCCTCCCGGGTTCACGCCATTCTCCTGCCTCAGCCTCCCGAGTAGCTGGGACTACAGGCGCCTGCCACCTCGCCCGGCTAAGTTTTTGTATTTTTAGTAGAGACGGGGTTTCACTGTGTTAGCCAGGATGGTCTCGATCTCCTGACCTCGTGATCCGCCCGTCTCGGCCTCCCAAAGTGCTGGGATTACAGGCTTGAGCCACCGCGCCCGGCCGGTGTTTGGAGATTTTTAAAAATCTGTTTATATCAAGATTAAATCAAAGCCTTTATTAAACATTCCTCTTTCAAACAGCCTTTCAAACCTATACCCCTCCCCAGACTTGGGAACTGCCAGAGCTGTGGATCATTTTCATCTGACAGGGGTCAGATCCAATCAGACCTCACAATATTGAAAAGCCAAGCCAGACACACCACACTGGGCAGACGTCCACCGTCTGTGCCCCACTCAGGATCTAGGCAAAAGGTTGGTAGCGCCAGCTCTCAAACCAGAGCTCAAGCACAGGAGAAGAGGAACCCGCAGTCTGACCCTGCTATTATAGTTCCAGACCTAGCCGTGCTAAACTGGACAAACAGCTCCTGGGCTGCCATTTGCTGAGGCGCATGCGTGTGCTTTTCCTTCTCTTCTCCACAGGAAAAGGTGAGAGATGGAGGAGGCAATTTTCAGTTGTGTGTGGGTTTGATTTAAGGCTTTGGCTGTGGTCTATTGATATATTAAAATACTTTCTGGGAACGCCATCTTCCAAGCTCCCCATCGGAACAAATGTATTTTCAAAAATGAAAACATTGAGCAAAGATGTGGAGCGGCAAATGCTGCTGTGGGCCCAGGCCTCTCATGTCAGGATGGTGTCGTCCACCTGCTCCATGGAGTCGGCCTGGCTGGCCAGCTTCTTCAGGGACCTTCGGTTAACCTCATTCAGCACCTCCAAACTGGCCACATCCAGGATCTTGGAGAGGGACTGTGGGGAAGGATGAGTGGGAGGAAACATAGTCAGAAAATACAGCTGCCACGTTCTCCAATTGGAGAAAGACAAAAATCAATTAACCCCAGAACTAGAGACACTGAGGTGGAATTTGGCAAAATAAGGGAATCAGATGGATCCAGGGAAAGCCCATTAAAACACTCATCATGCTTTTCTATTTTTCCCTTTTTCGTAGAATCAGGGTCTCACTGTGTTGCCCGGGCTGATCTTGAACTCCTGGGCTCCAGTGATGCTCCCACCTCGGCTTCCCAAAGTATTGGGATTACAGGCATGAGCCACCACACCTGGCCCCATCATGCTTTTCATGAGACGAGGCAGTGGGAGTTGCAGCTTTTGGGCTTTTTTTTTTTCTTTTTGGACACGGAGTTTTGTTCTTGTCACCCATGCTGGAGTGTAAAGGCACGATCTCAGCTCAACACAACCTCCGCCTCCCAGGTTCAAGCAATTCTTCTGCCTCAGCCTTCCCGAATAGCTGGGATTACAGGCATGTGCCACCACGCCTGGCTAATTTTGTATTTTTAGTAGAGACGGGGTTTCTCCATGTTGGTCAGGCTGGTCTTGAACTCCTGACCTCAGGTGATCCGCCCGCCTCAGCCTCCCAAAGTGCTGAGATTATAGGCGTAGCCACCGTGGCCAACCAGCTTTTGGGCTTTCCAGGCTGCTGGGGGCTGGGGACTGAGTGAACACAACTCAGAGTTTCCACTGGGCAGCTCTCCTGGGATCTGCTATGTCTGTTTGGGTGTCATGTGAGATTTTATTTGAAGAAAGGGCCCTGCTCAAAAAGAAGTCTGAAAACCATGGGAATGTGTGTTTTCGGGTACTGGGCCAGTCACCCAAATCTTTTTTTTTTTTTTTTTTTTTGAGACGGAGTCTCGCTCTGTCGCCCAGGCTGGAGTGCAGTGGCCGGATCTCAGCTCACTGCAAGCTCCGCCTCCTGGGTTCACGCCATTCTCCTGCCTCAGCCTCCCGAGTAGCTGGGACTACAGGCGCCCGCCACCTCGCCCGGCTAGTTTTTTGTATTTTTTTTTAGTAGAGACGGGGTTTCACCATGTTAGCCAGGATGGTCTCAATCTCCTGACCTCGTGATCCGCCCATCTCGGCCTCCCAAAGTGCTGGGATTACAGGCTTGAGCCACCGCGCCCGGCCCAAATCTTTTTTTTTTTGAGACGGAGTCTCGCTCTGTCGCCCAGGCTGGAGTGCAGTGGCGCCATCTCGGCTCACTGCAAGCTCCACCTCCCAGGTTCACACCATTCTCCTGCCTCAGCCTCCCTAATAGTTGGGACTATAGGCGCCCACCACCACGCCCAGCTAATTTGTTTGTATTTTTAGTAGAGACGGTGTTTCACCATGTTGGCCTCGATCTCCTGACTTCATGATCCACCCACCTCAGCCTCCCAAAGTGCTGGGATTACAGGCGTGAGCCACCGCGCCCCGCCCCAGTCACCCAAATCTTAATCTGCTCCTGAAAGCTAGCACATCCACGGTGGCAGAGAAGAACCTGCGGTTTAAATATTTCCGTGCTGAAGAAGAGCTGAAAGACAGATGCTCACAGCATGCCCCGGTGAGGCCCCCAGGCTCCTACCTGAAACACCTCTTCGCCCTGCCGCATCTTGAGGAGGTTGACAATCGCCTGGTCACTGTAGGCCCTGACCACGGTGTTCTTATCCTTGGTGTTGTCAAGAAGAGCCTTCAGGATGGGCTTGATGGCCTGGGGATCCAGGGGAGGCAGCGGGTCCTTATTTGCCCACCAGATCATCTTCTCAGCCACCAGCCTGATGTCGCTGGATGGGTTCTGCAGACACTGTGAAAAGAACCACAAACAGGCTTTTGGATAGGCACATCGTGTTCCTTGAAGGAGCCCAAATGCCCAGCCTCAACACTTTGCCTACAGCATGGACACTGACCGCACTGCTCCTGTGGGAGGGTCCCAGCATGAGTTGGCCCTGGCTTCCTGCACCCTCCTCTTGTGCCACTCTCCCCTTGCTCACTACTCTCAGCCCGCATGCGTTTTTACTTCCTCGAACATCCCAGGGCCTAGGGCCTCAGGCCTCTGCCCTGGCTGGTCCCACCAGCTGCGCGGTGCTTGCCCCAGATCCTCTCTAGGTTGGCTCCTTCTCATCCTGCAGTTCTCAGCTCCCATGTCATCCTTTAGAGGTGCCCCCTGCCAACCTTATCTATATCAGGGTCCTCCCCATGGGCTCCAGGGATCCTGTCTGCCTTGTTCATCTCTACACCTTCAGGACAGTGCCAGGTGAACAAGCAGGTGCAGGCTGATGTCATCACAGACCAGGCTCAATCAAATCAGGCCCCTCAGAAACTCCGTGGGTTCCCGGTGCTGCGGGGGGAGGCAGTCACCCTTGGGAACCTCATTACTCAAGGCAAGGTCCATGCACAGCACCAGTGACACTGCCTGATAGCTGGTTAGAGTCCCAGGCATGGCCCCATCTCACTAAAATGCACTCTGGCTCTGATTTCTGTGCACAGTAATGCTTCAGAAGCACACCATATCACACGGGCCACGGGAGCCCTGCTGGCACATTCCTTGGCTTTCCTAACTAGCGCCTGGCACACAGCATAATAACCACACCAAGAAGTGCTGGGTCAGCTAGAAGAGGGAGGTGGGAAGAGAGAGGTATTAAGATGGGAACCCAGGTCTATACCTAATTTTACAAAACTAGGGTGCGTAGAAAGAATGCCTAAAATAGCGATTCCTAACTTGATTCAGAGTCACAGGTCAATCTGAGAATCTGACAAAAAGTTAGGCTCCATTGCAGTGTAAAGCACACACAGAAACCCCTTACATTCCATCCCTAAGGGTTCAGCGATCTCCTGGAGGCCGTCCACGGAGAACTAGCACACAACTAGTTGAGGGCACACTGCTGGTGTTCTCTGGTCCTAGGGCCTCCTCACAAGCCAGGTGTTAGGGGTCAAACACGTGCTTGGCCCCCACTCACCTTAACGAACAGGCTGGAGAGTTTGGCCGGCAACTGCCCTCCGCCTGTCTCAATGTGGTATCTCATGAGAAAGCCCATGCCCCGGACCCCGCTCACCGCAATGGGGATCTGTGGAGAACAGACAGCGCTAGATGGGAGGCCCCCCGCCCCTTCCCCAGAGCCAGGGAAATCCCAGTTCCTAGTAATCTCCAGGACCCTCCACCACATCACCCCTTATCCCTACCAGGGACACTGTGACAGCTCTCACTCAGGTAGGCTGCCCCAGCTGAGGCAGATGAGCATAGTCACTGGTTCCCAGGAACAGGATCCAAGTCCTGACCCAGAAGGGGCATCTGGATTCTTCAACCCAAATTCCTTGTTTAGGTGATGAAACTGGGGCCCAAAGGGATCAAGTGCTGGTCCAAGGGCACAGC